AATGAGCTTGAGATGGTCCCAAGACGCTTTGCACTCACTCTCGAGTTTCGCGATATTCGCCGCCAGCTCATCGAAATCGATTTTCGAGGCTCTCGTTACCGCACCAATCTGAAAGCAGAGTCGCGTTGGCGGTGCCGAGAAAATTATACCAATTGTTTTCAAGAAAATATACGAGAAAATTTAATTTATATTTTCTTTTATTTTTTTCTGAAATTTTATTTGTCCTGTACAATTAACCTTTGATATTGTCCACTTAAAGATTATCACCAACAGTATATAAAAAAAATATTTAAAAAATATTCAAAATCGCGTACAATATAGCAATCAAAACTTTTATTGTTGACGTCAATAGAATAAGTCAGAGACAATAGCGAAAAATTTGTATGATGTGGATGATGGGGCGATAATAAAATTGCGATAAAAAAAGTTACGGCGATATGAGCAAATAAATTTGATCTCAATTTCATAAAAGCAATCGCGCATACCGTCACGTTATCACGACGAAGCGTAAAGTTCAGGTTTGATCGCGCTAACTGACTCTCACCTCAGAATAGAGGTCCGTAGAATCCGGAAACTTCTCCATCACCATATGGCAAAGATGATGAAGCAGCGAGTGCTTGTGAACCGTATCCTTCACTTCAGGTACTTTGACGAGGTATTCTAGTTGAAAGCCCTTTACCTAAAAAAAAGATGAAGCCTTCATACGTCGTGACATGACGCGTAGTCAAGAAAATCGCGTCTCATTTTAATGCTTATATATATATATTTAGATTTATTTACACTGTGGATAGATATTTTTATTAAACAAAATTGTTTCATTTAAAAATTAATCTGATGTCAGTCTAGGTGCCCGAAAATATATTAAAACTTTTTTAATAGAATGGATATTCTGTCAAAACTTTCGAAAATTCCAGCGCTGTTTCCGAGGATAAATAACGGGCCGTAATTGCAGCAAAACTCCGTATTAAACCGAGATTGTTTTCGGAAAAATGTGGCAACCAGCCAAGTGGTATGAAAGGCATCCTGCCCAACCAACAGTTAGAACTAAATTATCAATATCATCGGGTTTCGGACTGCTACGATCCCGCCAGGTTGCGGGACAGACGGATTAAGCGGATATCATTTGGCTGGCATTCAATACCCACCTCATTTCCGTTGAGGAATATCCCGATCGAAAGGAGCGTGCTCAGAATCCCACGGAACGTTTTATTCATTCGCAAGGTCTCCATACCCTGTTTCAAATCCATCAAAGGATCCGCGATTTCCTAAAAATCACAAAATGCACCGCTCCATATTTATTTCCTTGCCTCATTAAAGCGTTTATGATTGTATTAATTTTCATAATTACGCATTTCATTATATTGAAGTTTTGGCAAATTGTTAATTTATAGATTATTTAATTTAATTTGTTTAGTTTAATTTGTTTATAGATTATTTAATTTGTAGCGAAAAATCGGAAACCAAGTCACAAAGTGGAATCAATTTTTATATAAATATTCTCGCGACATGTATATTTTATGAAAAAAAATTTCCAAATTTATGTATTAAAATTTATTAAAATTTATATAATGTCAAATGCATTGAAAACAAAGTAGCACAAATACACGTTGGCTATTTGAATTTTATGTTATATATAACGTGTATATTTCCTTTTATTATTCATCTATATGATAATTTTGATATAAAAATGTCTTTATAAACTTTGTCGGCAATTTTTAAATATAGCTCTGAAGTAATCGATCGGATTGAGGAATAGTGTTTCTCACATTCCGAGCATATAAGAAGATTCAATATGAACACTATTTCCCGGTTTAGCTACAATCGAACGATGCCAAGAAAGTCAGGTCGTCGAGTGACCTCTCTTACTTCGGATACAATATCGGAATTTGCCATTTTATCGTCGAAGTAACGTGCCGAGAACGCTCTTCCACCTGCCAACTTCCTCTCCCGCATTGCTAACATTCTTTTTCGTCTTGATGCTTACGATGAAATCCGCGCGTAAAATCAAGAGAAACGAAGAAAAAAAGAAAAGAAGTCAATTTAATGGTTGCTATGTATTAGGAGAAATATATTAGGAGAAATAAATGCAACGTCTACTTCAAATCAAATCAAAATTATCTGTAGATAATCATACATCTGTAATATTGTCCGCGCAGATGTGTCTTCCTTAATAAATTAAGTTTAATTTGATTACGTATATAACGTTAAAACTTACTTTTTCAGAGTTTTCAAAGTCTAGTTTAAATGCCCACAGCTTCAGCCTTGCTGGCAATTCCGAGATGGAGGTCAAAGTCAGGAGGAACTGTTCGGCCGATCCTAAAGGAAGGTCAGGATTGGCGGCCTGCGCCTCTTGTATCCTGGACTTTTCTTCTTTAGTAGGTAGCATCGTCAAAAGTTTCTGTTGAGAGGATTTTGGACAAGGAGGGGAACAAACGAAGAAAAGAAGCCAATCGGAAATTAGAGAAACCAGAATAAACTCGGAAATTAGAATATATAAGTGCATTTTAACTAAAACTTCAAGGTCTATCGTAAACAGAAATTTGAAAGGTTTTTAATGTATTCTATCGGTCAATAAATAAAAACGGGATCAATGTAATTCATTTGATTTAATGTATGGATAAAAAGATTAAAAAATCAATTAAGAATTTACATTCGGTAAAAACTAGAACATTAAGATGAATATAGAAAAAGAATGATAATAGCAATTAATTTTGTTATGAGAACTCTCGAATAATTTCTATTTTATTCAAAAATATAAAAAAAAATTGCCAAAGCATACTGTACATGTCGATTTTTTTTTTTTGCAGAATTTATACATTGCAATGTAGAATGTAAAATTTTTTAAATTTTCTAACCTTTTTTAAGCAATTTCGAAAACTATTAAAAAACAAAAATTCAGAGATAAAAAATAAAAAATGAGAAAAATAAGAGAGATGATGTTATTCTTACCTCGATACCCTCTCTATTCATGATGGTGGCGTCCATTTTCAAAATCGCAGTCTTGATGGATCTTGGTGGTGGCAATTTGGTCATACCGATATTAATAGCGTTTGATCTTTTATGATTTAACACGATAATCTCCTTGTTCTTGTTCATCTCTTGCTGCTTCTATTTGTCAACAACAAACAAAATATTTTCGATTATATCAAAGTATTTTTGTGTGAATTTGATATTCTCTTCATTATTAATTCGTAGCTTGAAGTTATTGCGCTTTGATTAGTATTCTTACCGTGCAACAAATATTCCGCTAGAAAAATACACAAAAACTTACAAAATACATCTTGAAACACAAACTTATAAAAATATAGTAGTATGTGAGATATATCGAGAACGCCTAGAAAACTGAATAAATGTCAGCCATTCTTTTGATTGGAAGTGGAGATATATATCTACGCGCGTGGACGACATCGGACCTCCATCAAAATAATCTAGCTACATAGGTAACGGTTCACCAAACAATTTCCTATAGATCAAATATCTAGCACGCGATAAAACTCTTCAATAGACTTCCTCAATAGATCCAAGCCGCATTTATTATAATATTTGAAAGATACATGCAAATAAAAATTATATGAAAATAAGAGTTATTTTGAAGATCATTCCATTGCGCATGTATTTAAATTTTTTCGGCATAAATAAATTTAATAAAAATTACAAGATTGGAATTGTAGAAAAAATGTACATGAAAAAATTTTTTTATATAAAATTTTTTAAATGAGAGGAAGTGTTATAAATAAAGTTGTTTCATCCAAATAAAATGCCTCCTAAATAAAATACCTTTTCTTTATAATACCTATTGAAAAGCCATAATTTTGAAATAAGAACAGAGATTGTAATCTCCGTTTCCAATCATGTGTACAGTCACATTAATGTTAGAAGAAAAATCCCTTATTATTTGATTTTTAATCAATTACAATAAAAGATAACAAAAATGCAATGATTTACAAAGTACATTACAGTAACAGTATCTTCTTAAAGATAAAATATCTTCTGCAAAAATTGCATTAATTAGTGCATTATTATCGATACGAGATCAAATCGCGCCAGCACTCATGAAAAGATGCACTCAGAACGCATGCATTTACATGACGATCAACAAAACCACGTCAAAAGTTAAGAAATTAAGACTCACCTCCTGCAAAATTCCAGCATGCCATTTCGTTCATTTTTTTTTTTTTCGTGCGAGCACCAACAACATTGCCAAGAATACAAGAAAAATATTAGTCGTATTGTAATAAACCATCATCACCCCCTCCACTACTATCCGACCGCCGTCATAATCGTTATTCATAACCGTTATCATAACCGTTATCCTCACGCGATACGGTTAACCACGTTATTAAATTAATCGGAGTTATTGTATTGTATAGCGTTTACTCGATAATTATATACATATGTAGCTGAGCACAAAGCTGAGTGAAAGTTACTATAAATTAAGGTTTACTTAAATCTCTTATTTCACATTCTTCTTTGTGGAAATATAAAAAATTGACACATAAATATATTTTTAAAAATACGTAATATAATAGAGAAATTAATATATATAGCATAGTGTTATACATCATGTATTCATGTGAAAGTAATATATGTAAAATTTTGATGTTTGATTTTATGCAGAATGAAAAATAAAAATATAATTGTAATTTATTTTGTTGTTATCATATATTAAAAATATACTTAAAATTTAAAGTCATATTAAGAATAAGATTTGTATATAAGTTATGTATAAAACAAGACTCATAAAAATAGCTTAACAATCAATTTATCAGTATATTTTTATTTCTCTTTTTGTAAAAGAAGATTAAGAATTATATCAGAATACTAATTAAATTTTAATGTGTATTATTAATTATTTTAATAAAATAATTTTTGAAAAATATGCAAAAAATTTTTATGGAAAAATTTGAAATCATAAATAAAAAAATAAAAAATTAATTTCAATTCTTTTCAATAAATAAACAAAAGTCTCAGTTATTAATAATAATATCTTTCATCTTAAGATTGAATTCTGAGCTTTCTCTAGAATAATCACTATTCTTGTGGTGTACTTTGTGCACTGATTTTTCCGACTTTCCTTTCTATTAATTCAGAGCATGATTCTAATTTACGTCGTTACGGAACAAGTGCAAGCAACTGTGTACAACATCATTATTTGCGTCAAAGGCAAGTTTCTTTTTTATATCTTTTGCTCCATTTACACCCTTGTTTCGTTTCGCCGACAGATTCGCGATTTTCTTGGCAAGCCGCCATCTTTTTGTTGTTTTTTATGAGTACAGGTCGACTGTGTAATTATCGGCGTGCTGTAAGCGGGTTCAAAGGGCGAGAAAGAGCCGGTGTCGGAAACAACCGAAACGGAGAAATAATGCAGCAGTTTTCAGAAACGCTCGAAAAATACACGAAACCCAGTCGCATTCTCTTTGCCGTGCGGTACCTTTTGCTACGATTTAGTTGCGCACAAATGCGAAATACACAGGTGAGAGGAAACCAATATAACCGCGCTGTGTAATTACTATGGTAATTAATGATGACATTCTGTATTCGATTGCAATGCTTCGATACAGTGTCTGTCAGTGAAAAGTGTTTGTGGTTTTCTAATATAGTTGTATGTAAGCGTGTGTAAAAATCGTTTTCTATATTATACAGAATAAATAACGATATGTACTATCAATTTGTCTATTAATTTGATCTTTCTAACACAAATTACATCACCGATCATCTACTTCATATAAATCTTGCAAAATTCAATATATTAAAAAAAAGCTAAATTAAAATTAAGCTATAAAAATATAATAGGATTAAACAAGAAAAATAAAAAAATTTTGCAAAAATCAATATGTCATCTTAATTTATATTTGTATTATATATAGTTAGCAGCTTTTTAAAAATTGTTTACATAAGTAAGGATAAGTATTTCAATAGTTTTCTTTAATTTTAAAAAATATAAAAAATAAGTTATATGAGAATAAGCTAAGAAAATCTCATTAAGTTTCTTTAAAACACACATAATTAATTTCTTTTATAGTATAAAAGTAATAATAAAATTATAGCAGAATTACTGCACAGTTAAATATAATTCGTAATATCAATCATACTATACAAGAAAGATCAAACTATATACTTCATCTCTGAAGCTATTCTCTAGTATTATTTGATTGATATATTGATGAGCTTGAAATTCACAGAGTAGATAAATTTAAAAAAATTGTTAAAAAACTAATTATACCGAAAAAATAATCTCTTTTAAAAATTTATATTTTTCAAATTTGAAAAGAGATATATTAAGATGAGATAAATTCTTTAAAAAATTAATTCGGAAAAGAATAATGCACCAAAAATTAAATCATCAATATTATTCAATTTTATTTTTATCTATTACAAATAAAGAAAGATTATTAAATCAAATCTGATAAAAAAAATTCTGAAATGAAGTTAATTAATTGATGATGTTTAATTAATCTAAAAATATAAAAATTATAAAAATCAATTAATATACTAGAATATAAAGATATCAGAGGTAAACTATATTATAGATAAATGGTAATTTTTTCTTTTATATAAAATCATATTCTTTTATATATATATATATATATATATATATATAAGTAAAGAATAT